TATAGAGCGAGCTGCTGCAAGGAGACACGTTTAACGAGTTCAGAGCGCGGAAGAAGGCGAAGATTGAAGATTCGCGTACGGCCAACGAGCAGACCTTAACAATCTCTCTCTTCTCCTTCTTCCGCGAGAGGAAGCCGACGAAAGTGTAACAGCACAGATTTTCTTAGGCCAAGACAGTAGTACGATCACGGGAATCGGCGTAGGCGCTCCTCGCAGCTATGCGCGCTTCTAATGGACGTTCTCGAGGGGTCATCGAGTTGAACCGCGCGGTGTGCCTGAGATCGTCGTGCACTTAAGAATGTCAGCGAAAGGTGGAAGGAGACGTCGCGTGGAGGGAAACGATGAATCGGTGTTGTCTGATAAGGACGATCAGTCGGGGTCTATCGTCGCCGAAGCACGCCTTTGCTGTATAGAAAATTTCGAAACGAACCGCGGCGGGTTGCGCGGCTTGAACGACGTTTAAGCGCGGAAGAGAAAAACTCCTAAACTCGACTTCGCATCGAGAGCAATCGTTCGCGATCGCGAGAGGGATCGGACAGGCGCGATAACGCGGATGGCTGCTGACGCAGGCGTTATCGAGTGCAATTTGCTCTCGCGGGACAGCATCACGTAATAACGCCCAGGCCCTGTAAATTTCCCGATGGATCCCCGTGTTTTGAAAGGCGCCTTGTTGATTTATTAAGCCGCGAGGGCAACGCGCGGCGCACAAAAGCATCGATCGGACGTTATTAAATCCCGGCTGGGTTCAACACGAAATCCACGCGACGCGGCCTGGCGCGAGGAGAGAAAACCGTTCTTTGTGTCGGAGTGTCCGTCGGAAACTTTATCAGGATGACAATCATCGGTTCATCAGTTTTTAATCTACGTCCGACGAAGAGACGTCGTCGGTAGAAGGACAACGTATTGTTGGCGCGTCAATTGATCGATCGGCGATCGGGATTGGTGCGGTGTGATATTTCGGTTACAGGGGGCTGCTTACATCATTGCGCGCGAATCGGTGTTAATCAACAGTCGCGGTAATGAACCGCGCCGTTACGGCTGCCAGTGAAAACGGAGAAGCTGCGTAACTGGACACCCGACGTCGCTGCAGTTTTCCGATGCGGCGACACGTGAGGTACCGCGCCACCACGCCGGATGAGCCGAGGACTATACGATACAGGTGACACGTAGGGTGTCCTCAATCGAGCGCACCCCGGTCTGCTCACGCCGCGGTGAAAACGTGCCCGATGTGCCGCAAAAGCTCCGACATTGCACGTGGCCGCGATCCGCGGACGGATCGATTGTCTCGTCAATGCGAAAGGGTCCTGTGCGTCCTCCTTTTATTCGGGACGCTGCTCGATTGCGACGCCAAGAGTAAGAAAATAATATTGTTCGGAAAAATTTAATTTAACTCTATTAATTAAATTATTTTTAACGGATTTAACAGAAATATATACGAAATAAAATAAATATATAAATTTCCGTGATTTTATAATTTAAAGGAGTTAAATTTATAATTGACGAAAAATAATATAAAAAGGGAAAAACAACGCGAATACGTCGTTTATTGTTTGTTTGACTATTTAGAACTATGCTATATTAATGAACTATATTAATGAAAAACTGCAATAAAATGATATAAAATTTGCATGCATCGCAAGT